CAGTCGCTACTGGGATAGTTCGCGCGTTCCTGAGTAAAAGAGAACATAAGCTGGACAAAGCTCATGTGGAGAGAGTTGAAAGTCGAATTTTTGCGGATTCCCTGATGTTTTTCCTGATTTCCTTGACACAAAAAAAAAAAAGTTCCCTGAGATTTCCTGGTTTCCAGGGTCGCTAAACACCCTGCAGTCGCTACTGGGATAGTTCGCGCGTTCCTGGGTGAGTGAGAACATAAGCTGGACAAAGCTCATGTGGAGAGAGTTGAAAGTTTGATCTGGCTCCGGGGACAGCGGTGGCGAGGAAACTCCGAGTTGGAAAGCGACACGCCGAACTGACAGGGACCATTAGCCGAGATTAATAGCCCGCTTGTGCAAGCCACGCTCTTTCGTCACTCTTTCATTCCCGCCGCTGATTCAATCACCCACCTTCGGATTCGTCGCCGGACCGGGCATTTTTCACCGGAACGCGGATTCCCAAGGTTTCCTACGAATGATACTCCACGATTAGTAGACAGAAGCGGATCCAGCAATTTGGCAACACCGGATTTCGGAGAATTTGCAGGTGTCTGAAATTTGATGAATTCCGTGTTTGAATGGACGCTACCAAGTAAGCTGAATACGAGAATGACTTTGGTTCATAAATTGAACAATTATTGGAGGAAATATGACAAAATGATCAAAATCATGCGTTTAAATGGGATATGTCGCTAGATGACGTCATTAGGCGGCGGATTTTCTCACTTTTAAATATATTTATATACTATTTCCCATCGCCGAAAAAAATTATAAAAAATACTGTAAAATCAGCTCTTCGGGCACTTTCAGATGAAGCAATAAAAAATTTGCGAGCCAAATTCTCCATTTAAGGCTATGTTAAATAATTGATTTGAGCACCTGGCTCCTCCAAGAATCGATACATTTTTAAAGGTTTAAATGGAGAAACACAATTTTGCCAATATGCTGAATTCTGCAAGAGGGCATTATAAAGAAAGGCCCCTGTCCCACCCATATAATATAGAATGAGAGTAAAACTTGATTTGTAAGCTTTCCACCCATCGTGAGATTTTTAGTATATTAGACGATGAAGAGTGACGCCGAAACTCTAATCCACATCGCGCACCGGTTCATTAAAGTTCTCACTTTATAGGCAAACTTTCACAGTGCAACAAAGAATTTGTAGTCTTTATTTTAAGATTGAAGCAAAATACAACAGGAAAGATGGCGGATCTTCCCTTTCGTTATGAAAGTCGGCCAGAAAACTATTTGGCGCGAGCTCCAGCAGAGGAGACTAAAAGGTAGCTGCAAGTCGACGATGCGCCTTCAAAATAAGACGAAGCAATTTCACTGCATGACTCCGAAGCAACTTTGTTCTCATTCAAAGGATGACAATATTGAAGGGGCAACGAAGTTGTCTATTGTTCGAATCCGTCACATATCTAGAAGGAAATACCTCCAACTAGTGGATAGATCGATTGCCAAAGTTCGAAACCACATACATCCATTGCGTTGTTTCAAAAGTTCTGCTAATATTTTATTTTTTCGAATAGAAGCAAGCCAACTTTACCGCTTGAAATTAACAAAAAATATTCTGCGGTCGGAAAAAATTATGTCCTCGTTTTTGTTCGGATTCAATTTGGAATAACAAAGATTACTCGATGTAAAATTACCAACATAAACATCTGTAAGAGGGTATTTTCGGTTATCCACTTGAAAGTTTACATTTCAGTCTGGCAAATGGCGAAGTAATTAACCATGCAGGTAAAAGCTCTTTGAAGTTTTCAATCTAAGGTCAAGAGTTGGTTTGAGGCCAAAGGAAGGGTTGAGAATTCACTGAAGGTTATTATTTTGCGAGGACGCCAGGTTGCACAAGAATGTTGGGCGATTTTATACCGGTCGTTGATGGGCGGAATTTCCTGAACTTTCATCGTGGCAACTTCGCCATCCGTGGGCATTTCACACGGATTGACACTTCGCAGTCATTTTTAGGGCTTCTGAACTTCGCCCCGTTCAATCTCTTCAACCTCACGCCTTGATTTTAAATTAGCACGAGCACATTATCTTGGACCGCCAAAAATTGTGGAGTTACATAACGTTCGAGGAGACTTTGAAAAATATCTCGTTGTGAGCTTTTGCGGAAACCCTGGTGTGAAAGTTCCGTTTTTACTGTTTTCCGGCCGAAGGAACGTATCTGATCTACATACTGGGGTTCCAATATCTTCGGGCACAATTATTTTTTTTTCTACACGGAAATGACAGCGCAAAGTTAAAAAAAAATGCTGTTTGTGTACAATGTTGCTCATATTTGACATTACGCCAAGGGAGAGTGACTTCCTTTTCGAGAACATTGGGCATGAAAATGTGCGAGAAAATTTGGAGGGAAATTTTGATGGAATGAAATGATGAATATATTTTTGATTCGATGGTGCTTTAAATCCGGCGATAATTCTCATACGAAATGTGGACATTGCCAGATGGAGGAACGTAACTGTATTCCAATTGGACGTATTTCTATCAAACGGAACTATGTGCATTGTGACGTGAGCCCTGTAATGCATACATTCTTATCGGTCTTAGGGCTCAAAGTCTTAATGCACATAGTTCCGTTTGGCAGAAATACGTCCAATTGACTTGAATAATTCAATTTATTACAGGATTATAACTGAAATGTCTGCCCAAAATTTTTCCGATTTTTTTCTTGTAATTAGGATAATATAAACGAAATTTTTGGTAAGGAACGCTGAAGAGCTCTCTGGTGAAAAAAAAAATGCGAGGGGAAATTTTGCAATGCTGAAATGTAGTTACGATATTTTGTCTAGGAGAGGGGGAAAATTAGTGAAAAATTGAAGCTCTGCTGACAGAAAACAAGGTATCAATCCGAGTAATTCAAAACCTTTGACACAAATAGCAAATTCAAAAATTGATGGAAAAATGTCTTGAATTTTCTTCGAATTTTTACGGTTTAGAAAATTACAAAAAACCGGGAAGTCCTCAGACGCTCACTGAACCCGCCTCAATTTAAATCCTATTTGAGAGTTTCTCGTGGTCACTGAAAGGCGGAAGCTAGGGAAACCCTGGTTGTTCGATAAAATTCTTATTCTTCAGACAATTTTGAGAATAAATTGCATGTAAGGGACTCAAGAACCGATCTGAATCCGTCATTTCTCAAAAGGAAAAGACGTGGCTTGAATTTTAAGACCCACACACACACAATGAAAGCACCTCGACGATAAATCTTCTATATTGCCGTGCTAAGGAAAAACGCCGTATGAACCTTCAGACATTGCCAAATTTCCTCTGATAAAGTACAAATTTACTATGAAAGTTGTGAATATTTTTCTTTCAATTTTTGGTCCAATATTGTTCGCACTTTAATCTAATACATCTGAAAAATGCAAGGAAAAATATGCATAACTTTCTTCCAAAATGAACATTTTATCGGAAGAAATTTGAAAACTATCGAATATTCATACGGCGGTTTTCCTTAGCACGGCAGTATAGCGTTTTCCGTGTTCACTGCAATTTTTTTATAATCGAGACAGTTTGGAGAGGATTTGACAAAAATAGGAAATTCCAATGAACTTCTCAAAATTTTGGCCTTCCTGATTTTTCCAACCCTTTTCAAGTACTTTTTACTACGTTGAGGGAATCTGTTTCGAGAGGGAGAGACATTAGGGTGGATCAAGACTCAAGAGGCGTTATTCACCGGGTTCAGGTAGCTTTCCTCCCAAAAATAATGAGTATCTGCGTTTGTCTGGTTTGCTAAAAATTAGAATCGTATTGAACACATTGAGCAGAGCTATATACAAAGCCTGTGCGTTGTTTCTAAAAAGAATGTCTTAATTCCGAGGAGATTTCATGTGAGGAGCTTCTCAAAATTTCAGCTTTCCTGCTTTATTCAAAATTTCTGTACATTTCCAAGAATTTTTCATACCTCAGAGGAAACCGCCCTTGTGGACAATGACTACAGGGAGGATCAAGAGGCGCCACTGACCGGGTTCGAGTCTTTTCCCCCGCAAATAATAAGCATGTGCGTGTGATTAGTTTCTTCGATATCATATGTGCACTTGTACAATACGATCAGCATTGCACAGCTCATCCGTCATTTCTACAAATCATGTCTCAGTATCAAGGAGAAATCACGAAGAGTAAGTTTCAAGGAACTTCTAAAAAGCACGGCCAGCTTTTCACCCCACAAAGGGCAACCGTCCCGTGAGGGTGTAACTTCAGGTGACAAAGATTGTCTACACTTCGCAGATACTCCACGAGGAGAAATTGTCAAGAAATATCTAAAAAAGTCGGCTTTATTGATATTCCCAGGTGTTCTACGCCAATCAACAACTCGTCGAGCAAAACCGTCCTGGGAGGGAGTGCCTCCAGGCACAGGTAAGAACAAAAGGCGACCGCGAGTTAACATTCGCGAAATGACGTCATTTAGAACAGCTTTGATCGCAAATATCCCATAAACTCTGAATCTATTGAATAAAATCTAGGCTACAAAACTGCTTAGAATTTAATTTACTGCTGAATATGTTAGAAGAAAGCCACCAGGTACAACACCTAAGCTGATTCTTTTGAGTGCTTTGTGACGTCGGTGGGTGCCAGATTCTCAACCCTCTTTTGACCGCAAATATCTCATAAACTCTGAATCTATTGAAAAAAATCTAGGCTACAAAACTGCTTAGAACTTAATCTACTGCTGAATATGTTAAAAGAAACTGACCAGGTACAACACCTAAGCTGATTCTTTCGAGTGCTTTGTGACGTCGGTGGGTGCCAGATTCTCAACCCTCTTTTGACCGCAATTATCTCATAAACTCTGAATCTATTGAAAAAAATCTAGGCTACAAAACTGCCTAGAATATAATTTACTGCTGAATATGTTGAAAAAAATTGACCAGGTACAACACCTAAGCTGATTCTTTCGAGTGCTTTGTGACGTCGGCGGGTGCCAGATTCTCAACCCTCTCTTTCTACCCTACGGGCGTTCGGGGGCGGCCACTTACCGGGTTTAGGTCATGTCCGGGGCGGCGATCTGGTCGAGCTCCAGGTCGGCGTTCGGCATCCTGACGATGGTCCCCGGGGGCGAAAAACACGGCGACACCACGCGCTAACTGGTCACCATGACTGAGTGGCCGGCACGGCCGCCGCGCCGCGGCCCGGTGACGTCATCACGCCGCGAATCGATGCCCGAGTGTAACGTCCTGAGCCGCGGATCTATCGAGCACCTGCGCCTCCCCCACCCCCGCCCCCGCGCCGCCCCCTCCCCCGCGCGCGGGGCGCTTTCCCGGCCGCGGCGCAGCGCCCCGTTCCCGCCATGCGCGGGCGCTCCCGTTTTCCCGCGGCGTGACGTCAGGCCACGTCACGTCAGCGCTCGGTGCGGGGGTTCTCGGCAGCGCGGGTTCGCGGTTTCGCCGGGGGATGCCGCTACTTGAAGCGTTCGCCGGATGTCGAGACGATGATAAAATGGATCACTGAGCTACACTTTTTCGCTCAGTTTACAAACAACGGATGTGCTAGTCGTTTCCGCATGCATATAGGTGTTTTTAAGGGTGAGGAAGAAATTTTAGTTCCTAATTGCAAAATGTGGTCGAAATATGGACTGCATTTTGCAATTTAGAGCTGTAAATTTTGGCTCAACTGAGAAAACACTTAGTAGCATAGGGAAACCAATGGCACATATCGACGGTGAAACTACCAAACCACGTATCTCGGTTTGCGACGTCGCAGACTTCCTGTCATACTTTATTTTTTAAATGAAAAACTACTTAACGTCCAGTCTAGAAAATTTCTGTGATTTTTCCTCTTCGTGCGGAAAAAAATCTGTGAAAATTTCAAGGAATGATATTGATTTGGTCTACTTCAAAAAAATAAAATGTGAGCGTAGATTTTTAAACACCGCAAACGAGATACGTGGTTTGGTAGTTTCACCGTCGATATGTTGTTTTTAAACCGGGCCAGAATCTATAGTTCCAAATTGCAAAGTGCAGTCCGTATGACCCTCCGCGGAAAAGAGACCTTGCACGTTCGCCCGAGCAAAGCCAAAATTAAGTTAAGTTTGATGATATCATCTTTGATTAGCGGCTGATTACTAAAATCAATATACAAAGCAATAGACACAGAAAAAAACTGTTAATAGAGCGATCCTAATGGTGGAAGCGAGTGGTCGCAATGGACAATGGAGGTAAATACAGTGAAGGTAAGTACACCACTAAACGTCAAAGACTCGAGTCTTTCCGGTAAAGGCCTCACGGCGATTAATCGCCGTAAGTATCGTGGCTTTAAATAATGTATACAATTTTCTGTGCTTCCGTACCGACCGTTTAAAATCCCTCCTTTTTCAGTGCATCCGCAGTTTATTCGTATGGCAGACACCCTGTAGGTTTCGTTGCGCCCTTGAAATTATGGCGCCCCATCTTGAATTCGTCATTTTTTATCTGTCAAGTTGTTCGAGTACCTGTCGGAACTCGAAAGGCGTTGATTTCGTTCGCGTGACCACGGCTCAAGAGTGCATTACTTGAGATATTATCATTATCACAACCATTCCATCAATGAGTTTTCAGACCATTATTGCGAGGGTTAAAGTAGTCACAACCGCTACGCTTGAACCACGAGGCACCGCCCCTTGCGATTCCAAACCGAGAGAGAAAATACTTGCCCTTTGAATTATGTTTTCTTCCTTATATTACACGGATTGCTTGAGGTAAACCCGGAAAATTTTGATTTAAATGGTTGATCATGACTTTAATGATTGGTTTGATTGATTGATAATGTAAAAAAAAAAAAAAAAAAAAAAAAAAAAAACAACTTTTTTTAATGGAAAACTGAATTATTACGCGAGAAAAAAAACAATTCCTTGAATGACAGAAAATTTCCTCAAAATTGAAGAGAATTCTTATAGATAAATGAAATTTTTCCAGCAAAAAAAAATAAAATTGTTAAAATACATCTCTTTACTCAAATTTAGAAAAATGAATAAAAAAACTGAAAATGAAAAGAAAATACTCTCTATGATCCAGAAAAAATTATTTTCTCTTCGACGTGAAGACATTTTTTTGGCCTACAATAAATTAGCTTTAACTTTAGCGCATATTTCCTTCAATTCAAATGAACTTATATTCCAGATGAACTTTTTTGCAAGTGATGAATGGAAAAAACTTTTTTGAGCCATAAGCTTCAACGTAAACTTAAAAATGTCACCGCCCTTCTCCATCAATCAGCTACGATTAATAATAATAGAAAAGAAAAAAAATTGCGTCCCATTTAAAAAGAACAAAAGTAGAGCGCAAACGCTAAGAAATGTCTCTTAATTATTAACTTACGCTTGAGAGTTGCCTTTGTAGAATGGAGTCTCCTTCCCGATGGCGATCCACTCCTGCGACCCGAAATTCCTTGCGATGACACATTGAATCCCAGGTTAAAGCCCTCTGGTACGCTTTGGGGGTACTTAAGTGACCACTATCTGCCCCGGGCGTTGGGAGATCTGTAACAAAACGGTCAAGATGTCGCACATCAGATGCGTAGGTTTCTTCTTAGAAAATAATAATGGACCTATATAAAAACCTTCCTCTTCAACTGCGACTGGTTACGTAAAAATAAACTGCAAGAACCCCCAAAAATTCGGATTTAGCGTCAAAAATTGCATAGGAATCGATGAAAATATTGCTACCCGGGATTTTTGCAGGCTCCTTCCTTATTTGCCTGAACTAATGCGACATTAGGACGTATTTCTGCCAAACAGAACTATATGCAGTATGACGTGAGCCCTGTTATGCATATAATTCGTATGGACCCTGGGGCTCAAGGCTTAATGCACATTGTTCCGCTGGATAGAAATACCTTCATTTCATCCAACGCGATCCCCGATCTGCATGACAGCGCCTGGATGCAACTATACGTGTCCAACGGTTGTCCGTGTTGCATGCATGAAATACTGAAGGCGTCCTCGCTTTCTCCGTACACATCAAAAGTAACGCAACTTTAGGATGCAACTATTCGTCCTTAGCGGTTGGGTAAGTTGCATAGTAGAAATATTGAAGGGGCACTGATTTTTTCACGTTCAAATAACATGCGCACTAGTTTTAAAGTCAGAATCGAATGAGCCGCGCCAAGAAAATCAAAATAAATGCATGTGCTCCTCGCAGCCACAACTAGTAACCTCCGGTGATTAGAAAACATGGTGAAAACATGGCTTTCGTGACTTGTAACAGGTCGTACTGGTAATGCAATTTTGGATAATTATTGTACACAGTGATCTGCAGTGCAGTACAACATTTTTCTATACTTTCAGATTCAGCTTAGGTAAAATTTAAGCTTTTGATTATCTGTATTAAAGTAGGATTTAGTCGTTGCGATATCAATTTTAGTGGCCGGAATCTGAATCCGTAACCGTAACCTCAGTTTTGGCTCCGAAGTGCAGTCACAGAAACTGATTTTCGCTTACAAAACGTCACGTAACTGCATTCGACACTTGGACAGGCCATATGCCCTTAGGTCAAGTTCATTAGGCCGAAGTTTTGTTCTCCAGGAGGGGCTGAAATTTTTGGAAATAGATTTGCAGTCTCGGAAGAACCGAGGAAAAATAATTTACGCAATTCGTTCAATTTGCCACGTAACCTATCTGCGAGTGTTCGAGCCCGCAAGGGACACTTTGAAATTCTGATTCGTCTCAATGTCAGTTACGTCAACGATTCTACGCGAATGGGACGTCAAAACGGAGACATGGAACTTGTTTGGAGCGAGCGACTATCATAAAAAAATCCTTATCTTTGAGCACGATCCCACTTGACGCTGCTGTTCCGCTATTTTAGTATTTTTTACTAATACATTAGTTAACATGACCGATGAACAAGGAACTCCAAACCGACGTGGGACTAGTTTTTCCACTCCTAGAACGCTTTCGCATCGTGCTACGAATAATTTCAAGTGCATGCGGCAACTGAAAACACAATATTTATTTTGGTTGAGTGTTTTGTCGCGAATTTGCGGAGGAGACGCAGCTTCGACGACGGGCCTTCAACCCGCTGGCTGACTTTCAGGCACTATTTTTATTTGCGAAACGCAGTTTTTCAGACGATGAAGACAAACATATTGATATTAAATAATTATAAATAAAAAATAAATTTGAATACAAGTTTGGTGATGGTCCCACTAGCAGTCAGAAACCAGGACAGATTTTAACAGAAACGCATAAAGTTGCACCAACTTTGAAACTGGATAGAGAGGTTTGAAGTTTAATTCTCCTTAAAGACTCATACGGAAAAAGTTTGGCGACTTTTTTAACAATCAAAATGTTTTTTCTGGACTAAATTTCAGACAGACGAAAATGTATGACTATCGACTGAATTAAACTCAATTTTTTCTACATACAAAAATACCATTCGGTGCGTTTCTGTCAAACTTGGCTCATCTCATTCTTGCACGAGAAAAAACCTCGGTTTCACGAACCGAGCTCAATAGGCGCTTTTCGGTTCAGAGAGCTAAAGCTTTTAATTGCTCAAACCAACCTATTTGGTTATCAGCACCGAAAAACCATGCTTTGCGCGTGTTCAATTCCATATAGACCGAAGTTTTCAGTTCGGGTGAACCAAAAATTCGGAGCGTTGAACTAAATCTCTGGTTTACCGATCTAAAGTTGACACTGTAAACAAAGAAGATGGCGATCTGCATGACTGACGTTTGAGTCCTCTGGAATGAAAAGCGTTGACTGAATTTACTCGAGGAATTTTCTCCAGGTTCACCGAAAATTGGTATTTTGGATATGTATTTTCGCGACAGCTGATTTAATTGTGATATTCCTAAAATCAATATTATTTGTTGACAAGATCGGAGAAAGGAACATCCAGATCGATTCAATAAACAGGCTCGATAAAAATGAGCAAGAAAAAAAATAAAAAGAGGTATACAAAAAGTGAAAGGAAAGGGAACGAAGAGAGAAAAGGAGGAAAATGAGGCTGGGTGAGAAGAGGGGGATAATGGAAAAGGAAGAACCAACCACGGAAAAAAATCAGAAATACATTTAATGTTCATCATTACTTACTACCGCTACAGTAACTGAGTTCTAAGTTATAGTATACCTAGGTATGTGGCGGTCACTTGCTCACCCGATTACTAAATTCATTGTTTCACTCACTTGTCTAAGTACATTTCAATGTTGCCAAATTTCCCCTAGAAAATTCCATTTTTACCAGGAGAATCTTGAGCATTGCCAATCGAAAAGTTCACTGATTTTTCTTCTAATCTTAGGTGGAGATCGATCAGTGGCGTGCGGTCCGGATAAGCAAGGCAAGCACTGCTTGCCCAAAGATTTCAAAAGAAAGAAGAAAATTACACCTGTTACATGCATTTTTTACATTTTAGCAAATATAATTTATAAAAGGTGTTCAGTATGTAGGTAAATTGCATTGAAAACAGAAAGAGGGAGAGACAGAAATACGTAGAGAGAGCGGATGGAGGTGGCGCAGCGCGCTGCGCGGCCTAAACACGGGCCGACTCATGCGCTGGAGAATCGCTTGCGATCAGCTGAGCGGAGAGCCACTGCTCGGCGGCGGAATCAAGGCGGGCGGGTAGGGCGGTACGTTCCGAGTCCGAGCCCTTCGCTGCGCGATCGCAGCTCGCTTCTCTTGGCCATGTCTTGGCCCGTCACCCCACCGCAGCGCGCTGCTTCTGCCTCCGATGCGCTATCTTGCTCCCTCTTTCCGTCGCGGTTGTAGCTGCCCCTTCGGAGCAAATGCCCTTAAATTCTATAAAATTTCGCTCTCTTGATCTAATTAGTGATGAATTAGAAAATTCTCAAACATGTTTAAAATGCAGAAAATTCTAATTTTCTAACTTATTTTTCTAATTTCTAATTTTAAACTCAAAAAATTCTAAATAATGTAGAATAAAGACTACAATATCTCAAATAAGTGGCAAAATTAGGAGTTAAGAGCATGGAGCCGTCCTCTAATGCTCAATAACATTCGAAACAAGTTGAGTAAACGAAATCATAAGTAAGAGAGAAAGTAATAAAACCACAGTTTTTCAAGACGTTCCATCAGATTTCATCCGAATAATAGAGCAAATACCGTAAAATTTTAACAATTTTCTAGGGAGGCTCCCTGAGGAGGGGAAAGAGACTACGTTGACCCCCCCCCCCCCCGGATGGCGAACGCTAGAGCTTGCCCTGTCACTAAACCCACCGCACGCCACTGAGATCGATACAATTTTGGACAAAAATTGGACTAAATTTGGACAAAATTCATCTCTTCACACTCGAAAGAGTCTAAACTACATTTGAATGTTGCCAAATTTCCCCATTGAAAATTTTAATTTACCAGGAGAATCTTGAGCATTGCCAATCGAAAAGTTCACTGTTTTTTCTTCTGATCTTAAGTGGAAATCAATGCAATTTTGGACAAAAATTTCAAGGGCGCATTCTTGTAAAAAATTGAATTTTTTTAGTCAATTTTGCAATCTTAGAATGGAGTGAGGTTTCTCCTTTCGGGAAACTACGACTTTCTAGAGCCGGGCACGAAAGAGTCTAACTACAATTCATACATTTCAATGTTGCCAAATTTTCCCTCGACAATATCGTATTTACCGGAATAATCTTGAGCATTGCCGACCGAAAATTTCACTGATTTTTCTCCTAATCTTAGACGAAAATCAATACAATTTCAGACAAAAATTGCACGGGTATATCCTTGTAAAAAACTGAACATTTCGAGTCAATTTTGCAATCTTGGAATGGAGTTAGGTTCCTTCGTTCAGGAAATCATGAATTTCTCACGAAAGAATCCAACTACATTTTAATGTTGCCAAATTTCCCCTCGAAAATTCATTTTTACCAGAGAAATTTTGAGCATTGCCGACCGAAAATTTCACTGATTTTTCCTTTGATCTTAGAAGGAATAATCAAAATAATTTCGGACAAAAATTGCACGGGTATATCCTTGTAAAAAATCGAATTTTTCGAGTCAATTTTGCAACCTTAGAATAGAGTTACGTTCTTTTGTTCGAGAAACCACGAATTTCTCAAGAAAGAGCCTAACTTCATTTCACTGTTGCCAAATTTCCCCTCGAAAATTTTATTTTCACCAGGAGAATCTTGAGCATTGCCGACAAAAAATTTCAGTGATTTTTCCTCTGACCCTAAGTCAAAATCAACACAATTTCGGAAAAAATTACACGGGTACATTTTCGTAAAAAATGGAATTTTTCGAGTCAATTTTGCGATCTTGGGACGGAGTTACGATTCATCGTTCGGGGAACGACGAATTTCTCGAGCCGGACAGCGACGATTCGAACGGGCGACAAACGGAGTAATTATAGAATGTGTCAAAATAAAAACAGGCGCGATAAATAATTGCTTTCCGAACTCGGCGCGATCATCGATGGCCGAGCTGATGGTTATAAATCAGTCTCGTTTGTCCCACGTGCGTCTCCACTCCTCGTCTCCGACTCGATCCATCCCGCGTAAACAGATCCGATTCCGCGTTCCGCAGGGATTTTGCATCCAACTGCACTCGTGCAAAAGCGCAAACAGAAAAAAAAGTCATGAGGCTTTACGCGACCAAACGATACAAACATCATTTTGGAGAGCGGTATTATTAGTTATCTTATCTTAATTGTACTTGGACGCACAAATTGATGTTCGGAACCGTTAGGATAGTTCGTCAGTATAGTGCTCCTCCGATTGATTTCAACATCGCTGCAGTGATTTTTCTTCGTGTTTGAAAGTTTCGGTGATTTTTCCGCTCTTGAGATGTTCGGGGGTTGATTGGTGAAATTTAGTTTTATGCAGTGCGAAACAGGACTAACTGATAATGGTTCTCGGTGAGTTTATTTTCTCTTTTTCGATGCACCGGAAGAAAGTCGCTTGGATCTAGAGTCCATACTCTTAGAAACATCGACAAGAAAAAATAATCTTGATTTAATCGGATTTTTGCTTCAATCGAGAGCCAAGTCTCTTAGTTAAGGCGGGTTTCCTTTTGATTCAAGCAAAAGTCCGATTGAATCAAGAGTATTTTTTTTTCTTGTCAATGTTTTCAAGAGTCTGGACTCTAGATCCAAGCGAATTTTTTTTCCAGTGTGTAGTGGGAGGGATGTTTAACTTCTTCCAGATGCAATGGGTTTGTAGAATAAAAATAAATGCGACGAATCAATAATTCAGTAGTTACGTTGTGCAGAGATAAGACACTAAATCAGTTTCACCCAAGATTGACATGATGTTTGACCTTCACGTTGATTATTTCTTGTTCCTTGTATCCACGCGGAAAACGACGCATCGGTTTGGAGCACAATATGTCGTTTTCCTCATGAAAGAACGTAACTGCATTCTGATGTCACCAAACTTACAGAATTTTATTTTTTACCAGGAGAATCTTGGGTATTTCTACCTGTAAATTTCATTGATTTTTTCTCTCCGATCTCGTACAAAAATCAGAAAAATTTTGGACAAAGATTGAACATTGTACAGGTATATTCTTGTAAAAAATCAAATTAATCGAGTCAATTTTGCAACCTTGGGATGAAGGTACGTTCTTTCGTCCGGGGAGAAGACGAATCGCAATTGCAGAGACTGGCAAATGGATGGATTTAACCAGAATCACCTCAACTGAATTTCGCGTGGCCTAATTTCATCTCAGGTTTTAAAAAAAACTAAACAATTTAACGCATTGGAACTTCCTCTAAATTTTCTTCAAACTATCGAGAATATACTTACAAAATTGCAAATCAGAATTTTGCTTATTTGTAAGTTAAAAAAATAAAACACGAGAAGAAATGAGCGACGTCTGATTCAGTTAGACTGATTCTGTTTAGACCTCTCCGTTATTAACTAAACGGTTTTAATCAGAATCGACCTAACTGCATTTAACGATTTCTGATATCATCTCGTGTTTTATTTCTTCGCGTGCGTTTATCGTAGAAGACAAGGATCGAGGTTCATGGAAAAGAATACTGTCACATCATGATTGGACCGAGAGAAAGAGTTTCATTCCTCCATTAGATTCTATGTTGATGATAAGATCCAACGTCTATTTTCATGTTCAAAATTCAACTCCTCTTAAATCATTGTTGCTCAAAAATTTTCTGTTTACTCGAAACCTTAGGGGTAGCGTTAAAGTTAAAGGGGAGCAGGCAAACTTTCCGACAAAAACAAATGTAATGAACGGTAGTTTTGCGGTAGGCACGGTAGGATAGCAACACACCACGCCCGCGAAAAATTAAAAGTCTGCAAAAAATATTTGATAAGTGAAATTTATCTTGAAGTTACAGTATTTTACATTGAGCCATACGAATAGATGAAACTTCAAACTCATTTGGACTGTGTTAAGCAGAAAGTAACGTAGCCACTTCAGCTATTGCCAAAAATTGGGCAATTCAGTTTTTTACATAAAAACGGTTATGCGGGTTTTGAGCAAATTTCAGTGAATTTTCGGCATAGTACGAAGTCTCAAAGAAATCTGCACAAACGTTCTCTTCTAAAATATTAAATTGCCCCGTTGAATTTGGCAATAGCTGATGTGGCTTGGTTCCTTTCTGCTAAACGCGGTCCATTTTTCTCCGTTCAAAGTCCATATCACTTACAATTAGTCCCTTTCTGTTATACTTCGTCTATCAGCCAATACCATTCAATATTTCTGCGTAGCGTCCCTATCATTAGAAAAGATGAGACATCTTTTCAAGAACAACTAGTATCCCATTACGCGAAGCATGCAATGCAAGTTCCAATATCAACTGGAGTTTATTTTAAAAGGGTGACTTTCTCAGGGTGAGAACCCTGCAACCTTTATGCAAGACTGTTTAGTCTTGTGACGCATGAAAAACTATCTATCGCATTCAATCTGCAACAAGAGTAGCTGCTAAATGGATAAAATTTAAAGAATCCGGCGTATACGAGTTTTAATCATTGCTTTTCTATTTTTGGAAAAAACCATATGTGGATCCAGACACTTCAAACGGAGGGGGGGGGGGGCGTGTCTGTGGGGCTTCCCCCGAAAATGTCGAAATTTTAAAGCATCTAAAATGCAGTTTGAGTCAATTTCGTCGTGAACATGCGCGTCCTTCCTTCTGCTTCCCTTCGTTTCTTCCTCTTTTCTTTTCTCCATTTTCCTTCCTCCTATTTTTCGGGGGAACGGGGGGGGGTGCCCCCTACGCCCCATCTTAGATCTACCAATGGAAAAAACCAAGGTTCCGGTTTTAACATCGACCGATTCAGTTACTTACATGAAACTGATTTTACTTTAACAAAGTTTTCTTGTTGTATGTTCTGCAGCCCGAACCACGCTATGGTACATAGCGTTTTGCGGATTCGCGGTGAATTACATGATCCGGCTCAACATAAACATTGCCATCGTTGGCATGGTGAGACCGAAACGTCAAAGCATAGAAGTGACGAATTTTGCCCAAGTGGGTAACGCAACTGATACACAACAAGACAATGTTACTCACTCTGGCCTGGAGACGACACATTTCCTGACTGGACCTTTAAAAGGCAGCCTGAACGTTACGGAGGTGGATCTAGCTACAAATTTGAATGATCTAAAGGCAAGTAACCGAGGAATCCTGTTTGATGGTTTTCATATTTTCTTCAACTTTAAGATCTCTGAGTATCCCTGACTTTCTCTGACCTTTGAAAAATTGTTTTTCTTCTTTCTTTTCTTAATACGCTGACTTTTGCTAAATTTCGGACAAATGTCCTTGTTTAGAGAACAAATCGTGGAAAAGGTCATTCTGTGGCTAGTTAAAAGATGGCAAGCCTTAAAAATGATCAGAAAGGATAATAACATTTGAAAGATCAGTGATGTGTTTTAGTAATTAGTAGATGGGTCAGAAATTTCCTGACTATTCTCACGAAGTCCCTGACAATTCCATTACTTTTTTCCTTTCCTCTGACTTCAAAATTTTCTTATTAAATTTCCTCGTTTTGAGATCATATTATGAAAAAAAAAAACATTCAATAGCTGGTTAAAAGATGACAAACTTTAAAAATGACTAAAAAGAGTGAACAGATGAAAGTTTAGTGATATTTTTTAGTGATTAGTAGACGTGTCAGACATTCCCTGACTTTTTCCACGAATGACCGACTTTTCCCGGTCGTCGCAAATTTCCTAATTTGTTCCAATTTTCCCGGTTTTCCAGACCGCCGGCAACTCTGTAATTTTTCAGCGGGTCTGGCGCACGCAGTGGAACGAGTCAATAGGCGAGGTCGGATAAAATTTGGAAACTTTAAAAGCATCATAACTCCGGTCATACTAAACTTTGAGGTTTTAAAAGTGGTCTCATTGGTTCCCTCTTGAAATTTTCTTTGGAGATCACCCCATAAAATTTAAAATGTGACGAAATAAACATCAAAATTTCCGACTTTCTCCTTAAACGTTCGACTTCTCCTATTGACTCGATCCACTGCGTGGCGGTGATCGCAGATCGGAACCCTGTGGAGCTATACACTGCTGTGGAGCTGTGTATGTAGACTAATTCAGTAGCTATACGCTACTCGTCGTGTATAGCTGCTCGATAATTCTAATGTAAACAGACACATAACCTAGTTTCATTCATGCTGCAGCAGTGGAATGCGTCAAGTTCCTTGCAGCCGAAATTTCTTGTGTTTAATGAGTCGTTGATTGATTTATGATTTGTTAATGACAAAATCACGACGAACCATCACAATGAACTCCTCATAGACTTTGGACTTGAGGTTATACATTATGGTTGTGGTTGGAACCATCAATAATCGATCAGTGGCGAGACGTGAATGATCGATTTTCGATATTTCCTCATTAGAAGCTATAGTCAAGAATCGCTTGTTAAGTTGTTTGTCCGAATTGCAAAATGCAGTCCATTTATAAGCTCCCATAAGTTCTAATATCATCCGTATTTTTAGGGGTGATCGAAAATTTAAGATTTTTTTTTCTTTGTATATTTATTGATTTGTTTTTAAAAACATCAACGAGTAGAGACACTTTCAACTGAGATTGATACCGAAGAATTCCATTTAGACGAAAATTTCCGCATTTTTTTGTTCATACGAAAAAATCTCAAAAGTATTTTAAGAACCTTGAATTACTTGTTCGTACATTCTCAAACCTTCCCGAGGGCTTGAAAACTACCGAAATTGGATTTGCGACGTCGGTTCCTTATCAAGCACCGCAGTCTCTGAATTTGTACAGGCTAAAATATAATCTAGCAAAAATCTTGTTACGGGTAATCAGGAACACCCTGTATAAACCTGCATATTATACCCACCCGCTGAGGGCAGGAGGCGGAGAACCTCTTACAGAATCTATTGCATAACCTGCCTTCTCTCCGTATTTTCCGTTCAGTATGAGCTCACAACCTGTAATTAAGGAGAGAGGAGCATTTAAATGGTTGTTTACTGGTTTCTAATTTAAGAAAATGTGTTCTTTCCAGAGGCTGGACAACTTATTCGAATGGGACGAGATCCAGCAAGGTCATGTTTTGGGAGCATTTTTTTGGTTGCACTGGGTGTCGCAAGTCCCGGGCGGTATGTTGGCACGTAAATACGGAACGAAGAAAGTCTTTGGACTGGCCAATTTATGCATAAGTCTCATGGCTTACCTCATACCCTTCTGCGCAAAATGGAGCTTTGGGGCTTTGGTGGCTATTAGAAGTTTACAGGGGATCGTCAGCGTAAGTTGGAATACATTTGCGTCTATTCAACTAAATAGTTTGATTTTTACTTCAAAACCTAAAATATAACCAATATTGTAACACACGTACTTACATGCGATTAAAATTGTGGTTGGTTATCGAGTAACAATTCCTGGTTTTTCGTTTCCTAGAAACTAGAAAGTTAAGTTCTTTTCTATTTTTCTAATTCCTGGTTAATTAGTTTCCTATTGGAAACAGTTACTTGGTCTAGGACCATGCATCATCAAAAGTTAAAACAAAAGATCAAAGAGACAATCGAAAAATTACATTGCAGAGTTTCCACTGATTCAGAGAAGACAAAATCAGGATTATTCTGTTAAAAGAAACCGCTGTTTCAGGAAAAGAAATCGACAGCTGAAGAGTCTGCATGAGGACGAAAGTTTGGCGAATAGGCTATTATTTCTTCAAATATCAAGCTGAATAATTGAAGAAGAGCATATGATTCATTCCAGATCCCTGAAATGCGTTTTTTTTTTTTTTTTTTTTTTTTTTTTTTTTTTTTTATATTTTGCAAAAAAAGGATTGGTTCCTAAAAATATAGAACATCCGTTGAGATTTTGGAAAAATGGTTTCTGGATTTGTGCCGCGTGATAACATGAGCTGGCAAGTTTTTGCTGGTCTGAAATATTTCCGTTTTGAATTGCGAATTTTTGAATTTTGAGTAAAAATGTACTACGTTACATACAAATTCTATTCACACAGTTCTTTATAGCGTGGATACGCCCATCTGTAATTCAGATCGAATGATGAAAAAATCTTACAATAAGACACAACTTTTATTACATATTTACAGAATTTCAGTAATAATCTTGAAGATATCTCGAAACCCACTTGATGCTGCTTCTAAAATATGCTCTCCTATTTATTATATAATGAAATTTATTTGTGAAGGGGTTTTCATGGCCTGCCATGCATCACATGACTGCGATATGGATTCCACAACACGAGAGGAGTAAATTCGTCTCTGCTTACTTAGGTTGGTATTTCAAATAGCTTTCAACAACCGGTTCTCAAGTTTAAAAAGTTAAGAGCATTAGGCAAGAATTCCCAAGCGCCTAAGAGGACAAAATATGTAACTTATGATAGTATTATTCGCTTAAAATAAAGGAAAATTCTTCATTCAGTTTTTTTCAAAATTTTCCTTACTGAAAATAAATTTGTGCATGAGCTTAGACTAAAATTTTTATACGCTTAGATTGGCCTTTGAGGACACTAAAATTCTTGTTAGAGTTGCCATTTCTTGCCATAGATCAGATGATCAGAATATTAAAAGTTCTGTGATAAAAACTATATGAGGGGCATTTGAATAGCAAAACATACGGAAAGTTCGTTAACAATAATGAAGAATTTGCACGAAAACATTTTACTGCTACATCTAATTGTAGGAGTGCTTAGTGAGCTAAGTTTGCAAAATTGTTCAAACTTTTTTCTTACATGAAAAATTGTAAACAAATAAATTTAGATGTGAGAAAATGTACCGCCTTATGACGTAATCTACAGGCACTTCCTATTGGATCATATGTATTTTAGCAGATAAGGTTTTTATGTTACCTGCAAAGTCTCCATCGTTCCTCTCAAAACATTGAGGCTTGAGAGTACTTCATCAAAAACATACAAAATCTCGTAAACGAACAGATTTGACTATCTGCTTGCGGGCTGATTATTGGAATTATAGACAAAGCGATAAACAGAAAAGATCAAGGGAAAATACGGTGATCCTATCGATTGAAACGGATGGTCCTCATAGACTACGGGTGAAAATTGTGGATTAACTAAAGGTTCTCTCACGGGTTGCCGAAAGTACGTCTATTGCAACCACCTGCTTCCACGAATAAGATCGCAGTATTTTCCTTCGTCTTCTTAGTCCCTTGCTTTGTCTATCAATTTCAGCGATCAGATCGTAGGACATTTGATTTAATGCGTGCTTTTGCTATTTGCAATTAGATATGGTATCGAAGCGTGGAGGTATTAATTTTTTCTTTTTTCTGTTTCCGCTGCGGATTCTAAGGAAGCTCTTTCGGAGCAGCGCTGACCTATCCTCTATGCGGGTTCATCATGGACAAACTGTCCTGGGAGTGGGTGTTCCACATCACGGCGACGATAGGGGTCGTGTGGTACGCGTTTTGGTGCTGGTTGGTCTACGACACCCCCGCCCAACACCCGACCATCTCGGCCAAGGAGAGGGAGTATATCCTCATGAGCAACGGGGGAATGACGCATCAGAGGAAGATGGTAAGAACCGACGATAAAAGAATCAGTAGTATCAGTATCGACGGGCTGATTAATGAGATAAGTGGACAAATCAGCAGACAACGAGGACATAGGGAAAATGCAGCAATCCTATTGGTTGACATAGATGGTTGTTATAGACTAGGGCGGAAAATAATGGATTAACTATATAGGATCTCCCGTGGGTTCCCTTTTTATTGTTCGTAGAGATGATATTCCGTTTCAAAATTTAAATAATTGGACCGAGTTCATCCGAAAGGAACTAACCCACATCAAGTTGAAACTGAGAAAAAGAGATTTGAAGTTTTATTCCTCCATAAGACTCAATGTGGAAAGTAAACTTTAACCCCTTACTTTCCCACACTAATATTTGTTTCCGACTTCCAGTTTTTGGCAGAAGAAAATACGCAACTAGAGGAACTCAAAAACATTATCATCTCAATTTTTTCAAAAAATGTGGGTTGGTTCCTTTCTGACGAACTCGGTCCAATTGTGGTAAAGTGCAGGGGTCTTGTTCGCATTTTCGCTCATTTCGGACCGAAAAAGTCAATTTTACTTTAAAAATAATTGAATTGTTTGACTTCTCGATGACTTGGTCGACTTCTCTTAATTGCACCGAAGGCCAAATTGGTGCAGAGAAGGAACCGAGTATACACTTCATTCTCTCTCAGATTCCCTATTGCCACAACAATTCGGAAAAATATGCAAACTGTATACTGGTGTGTGCGGAGTTCTTCCAAGCAACTAACGAGAACACCCTTGTTATAAAAAACGTTCGTTTCCTATCTTTCACACTTGATCCAACTGATGCTTAGTCAGGACATTGAAATGTGTCAAGGTATTCGAAAAGAGCCAGAACGAATACCGTAATATTTCGATATTTTAAGTCTAACGGTCATCTTGTAAAATAAACGAAAAGGAAGAAAGAGAGAGTGAAGGGGAGATAGAGGTAAGATACAAGGAGAAAGAGAGACAGAATGAGAAAGAGAGGATGACTATACTTTAAAAGGTGCTCTCACTACAAGCAATGAAGGGAAGACAAACGCTAACCGGAGCGCCTTCACTTTTTTGAATGCGACACGCACATCCGTTGCGTACGAATAGTTGCTCAAGGCATTCTTGTAGATGTCGTCGTTGTATGGAACTACTAGCGTGAGCTGTATCATGGAGACTAAAGAACTAGTGACAGACTATTAGAAGAGATATGAGAATGTGATTTGCTGAAGGATTCTGAGCGAATTATAGACTTCGAATAAAATTAGAATGAGCTCATTTGTTGGCAAAAAGCTCTGGTGTAAGGCAACTTTACGAAAATTGGCTGCAGAAAACCTTCATCAAATTGAAAACACGGGCTGTCCTAAAATGAGACGATAAGTCTTTTATTATTTCAGAATTTTCTAGTTTTTCAGGTTTTAGGAACGAAAAATTTCCAGACTTTTCAAGGATATTGAGACTAAAAATACTTTTTACGCGATACCTTTAACGCAGGGAGTTCTAGTTTCATTGGAAATATAAATGAAAATAAGTAATATTTTGAAATAAACTTTTTTTTCAGTTACCTCCAGTTCCATGGCGAGAGATATTAACGTCCACTGCTGTGAACATGAATGTCATCGGGCAGTTTGGCGGCATATGGGGGTTGTTCACCCTTATGACCCAGGCTCCGACGTACCTCAAAGTCATTCATGGCATCAACATTAAAATGGCAAGTAGACCGACGCACAATTAACACCTGCAACAGATTAGAATAAAGCATCATAAAGCTATAAGTAGAGATAATGAACTCAACTTTATCAAGAACGAACCAACTTCTTACCGATGACTTCTTCTGAACCTCTAATTTTTGGACGGAATACACGGCAAAATCAGCTGCACTAAATTTCAGGTCACCTGATCAAAGTTTCAATTTCAACAGAAAAATGTACAACATAGCGCCTTCGAGAAGGCAAAAAGAATCGGTGCTCTTGCAATACTCATGGTGAATTCCAGGTCATATCTGCGTTTCTGGTATTGACTAGGGTTTCAGTGATGGTAGTAAAAGGTTCCTTTCAAGTGCTGCATTGTAACCGAGACCGAACTATTTGTTACCATAAACATAACATTGCACCTACGACTGAAAGAGTAGGCAGGACCTGGATACCACAATGAGCGCTGTAGGAGCAGCGATTCTATTTTCTTTATGTTGAAATTTTCTATTCATTTGCCCTGGATTATTACGAGTGCATACTCATGAAATTGAATGTCAGGATCAATGTCAGAATTCTCTCTTAATTTTCTGTTAAAAATCTAGAACTGGGAAGGAAATCACGCGAAGACTAATTCTAGTCGAATCCATCATTTTTTGATGGTATTGCTCATGACACTATTGTGTGATACATTTAATCTAATTTTTATGTCTTAAATTTGATACGATAAACTATACATGTTCATAAACCCATTTAAATAATTAACTGAATATCTCTTTCATACTTTTGTTTTTCCTTACTTATGCGTAGAGCAAATACATCCGACGAAACTGCCATAAAAACTGAACTAAAAAAGTTCTGTTGAATTGACGCTGGAAAATTGTGACTTTCAAACTTTATTCGCGCTTAGAAATGGCAATTTTTCAAAGGTTTGTCCGATTTCTTCCCAAATCACTTATTCCCGAAGAAAATAAGATGGCACTCTTGAAAACTTAGAATGTCATGATTCTTTTTTCAGAATGGCATTTATTCCGGATTACCTCATTTATGCCGGTGGGGATTTTCATACGGGTTTGCAATTTTCTGTGATAAACTACTACGAAGCGGTAGATTTAGCAAAACTCTAGTCCGAAAAATAGCAACAACGTTCAGTAAGTACATTTTTAATGCACTAACATTGACCAATAATCAAGGCTTTCAGCATTTCCCTTTTTAAAATTCTAGGTGGTAAACAATTTATATACGAAATACGCGGATCGACTTGCGCTGAGAGCATGAGCTAGATTTAATGATTGCAAATCGAAAGTTGAATACAGAGGAAAATAAGATTCATTAATTTGGTCCATTTTGCACATGGACAAATGACCCATTAATTTTACAAGGTAATGACTACCGTGGACGCGGAAGTTCACTCTCAAAATTTTCGCTTTGAGAATTGCTCTTGGATAAGTTTTTTTAGCGGAGGCAAGAAAAATAGAGTGGAGAAACAATTTATTTTGGATTTTGTAAATGCTGACCCCTATCTACAAGAAGTAAGATGGTGTATTTACTAACTTACATAAAACATTTTAAACATAGGCGAGAAATCGTTAAAACAGCCCCCTTCCGCAATGGAATCATTGACACAACAGATTTAACTTGCGCATGTACGCGGTCCCAAAAAAGCTAATCTCAGGTGAAGCGTTTAAAGGTGTAGGGGCTTTAAAGTGTATGTCAATTGAGACCGTATTGTGTATTTATGATTTATTTATTTATTTTCTTTTTTGAGAGCTTTCGTACGAATTAGTAAGCAATTGAAGAACTAAACGGGACTTGAAAATTGAAAAGAAGATATTCCGAGATTATACGAGTTTTATTAAGAATGTCATCAAAGAGGGTTGTTGTGCATATATGCTATGTTGAAACTATTGATTTTATAGTAGAAATAATAGTCGGAGAGAAAATTTATAGAAACGTGCGATGATTCAAGCATGGAATACAGGGTGGAGGTACCATTGATGTATTTTAATTCTCTTTTGTTTCGATAGGTACCATTATTCAAGGGCTGTTAGTGTGGGGTTTGGCGTATTCGGGCCACAACACACCCCTCGCAATATTCTTCCTCGTGACAGCCACCATGGTCAACGGGGCCGTTTCTTCCGGGCCTCTGGCCAGTTTGGTTGACCTCAGTCCAAATTTCGCAGGTTAGTAAGACTATTCTTTAATTGTCGAAAAAGTGCGTTCTGTATTATTTTCGACGGTTTTTAATCCCCTCTTCCCATCTAATCCGACTAACACCGATCAAATGAAAGTTTGATGATACAAATGACGTCATTTATGTTTTTGCCTTGAACCGATGTTAATTAACTGTAAGCGTTTATACCACGGGAGTTAATTTCCAGACTTGTTTCAAATCGATTCGCTGAGGTTAATTTCTCATCCACAAAGCTGAGTGGAAAAATTGGATTTTAAGATTTCGCAGGAAAACTCTTTTTTGAGTGCTAAAAAAATAACTTCCGTTTAAAATAATAAGTCCGTTTACCGTGGACCGTTACAAATGAGCGATCGACTTATCATCCGTTATTCCATTGATCCTTTCAATTGAAATGATAATATTTTTGGACCAACTCTGATTGATCCTTTGTTTCAGGTGTTCTGCAAGGGATAAGTGGGATGATAAGCGTGTTCCCTGGATTCATTTCTCCGGTTGCGGTTGCTTATCTCACATTAGGAAGTGTAAGTATACGCTATTTAAGAGGTTTTATACTTAAGGGTCGAGTCCAAAGGTATTCCTCATTCGATCGCTTTACGCAGACACTGTGAGGAGCAACTTGTGATAAAGAGGGCTGTAACGAACCGTAAAGCTATATATTCCGTAACAAATAAGAGGATTTTTGCTCCAGGAGGTTTTAGAAACAAAATACTTTACCAACCCCGCACTAATAATCTAAGGAATGTATAGTAAAGTCACTGGCAGACCCAGCGAATTGGCAACATTTTTTTTCTCCATTTAAACCTATGGAAATGTATCGATTCTTGGAGAGGCCAGGTGATCCGACAAGAATCTATTACTTAGCATAGGTTTAAATGGAGGGAATCCGGTGTTGCCAAATTGCTAGACTCGCCTCTGGATGAAGTGCGAGGCAAAAAATAAAGTCGGGTCATTGCTCCTTATTGCCGAATAAGATCCATTTACATTAAAAGAGAAAATAGTGCGGGGGCATACGTAACAAAACATATGTCCCGTGTGCAGGTTTGTGAAGGCATATTGTGTGATACGTCAATCTCTTCGTTTTGATGTCTAGAAAAAGAAAATCGATGATGGCCATCTCAAATTTCATACAAACCCCCCCCAAAATCAAGATGGCGGCCAAAATGGCGGTTTTGGGGTAAAAAAATTTAAAGTTTGCAAATACGTCGTGTCGGGTATCGATTCTTATGTATTTTTGATCGTAGAGTCCGAATTTTCAGTCAAAAGTTAGCTCAAAGGTCATTTTCAGGCCAAAATCCAAGATGGCGTCCAAAAATACCTCTTACGGGTGATAATTTGCCTATTCGGGTCTACATGCATTGTGAGGTATCAATTATTAGGTTTTCAGGGTCGTAGAGT